TTGTAATACCTGTTCAGTGTCTGTTTCTGTGGGTTATTTCTTTGGGCTTCCTCTTTCATTTACACAGTCCCCCTCAATATTTCTTGCAGAGCTGGTTTGGTGGTCACAAACTCTTTCAGTTTCTGCCTATCCTGGAAGCTCTTTATCTCTCCTTCTATTCTGAATGAGAGCTGTGCTGGATAAAGAGTTCTTGACTGCATGTTCTTCTCATTTAGTGTCCTGAATATATCCTTCCAGCCCTTTCTGGCCTGCCAGGTCTCTGTGGAGAGGTCTGCTGTTAATCTAATACTTCTCCCCATATAAGTTAGGGATCTCTTGTCTCTTGCTGCCTTAAGGATTTTCTCTTTATTTTTGGAATTCACAATTTTCACTATTAAATGTCAAGGTGTTGAATGGTTTTTATTGATTTGGAGGGGGAACCTCTCTATCCCCTGGATCTGGGTGCCTGTTTCCTACCCCCACTCCCGCAAATTAGGGAAATTCTCACCTATGATTTGTTCAAATATGCTTTCTGGCCCTCTGTCACTTTTGGCGCTCTCTGTAAGCTGAATTATATGTAGATTTTTCCTTCTAAGGCTATCATTTATTTCCCCTAACCTTTCCTCATGGTCTTTTAATTGTTTTTTCACTTTTTTCCTCAGCTTCCTTCCTTGCCATCAACTTGTCTTCTATGTGCTCCTTCTTTCATCCATCTCATTAACCCTCGTTGTTAGGACCTCCAGTTTGGATTGCATCTCATTTGATTGATTTTTAATTTTGGCCTGATTAGATCTAAATTGTGCAGTCACGAAGTCTCTTGATTCCTTCATGCTTTTTTTCCAGAGCCACCAGTAGCTTTATATTTGTGCTTTTGAATTGGCTTTCTGACATCAAATTGTAAACTAAATTCTATAACTCTGTGTGAGAGAGTACTGTTTCTGATTCTTCCTTTTGTGGTGAGTTCTTCCTTCTAGTCATTTTGCTCAGTGCAGAGTGGTTGTATGAACAGGCTGAATCAAGAATATCAACCACAACCTAAGTAAATATCACCCTAGATTATTCTGCCAAGGTCAGAGGCCAGAAATTGAAATTAAAGATCAGAATAAAATAAAACAAAAGGAGCACTAAAGTGAAAAACAAATTTTAAAACAAAGTAGTAAAGAATGAAAGACCAAGAATCCCAAAGAAGAAGAAAGAAAAAAAGAAAAAAGAAAGAAAAAGGTAAAAGTAAAGAGAAAAAAAAAAGAAAAAAGAAAAAAAGGAGAAGAAAAAAGGGGGGACTGGGAGATGGTGGTGGTGATGAAGTTGTAGTTGATGGAGAATGTAGTCTACCTGCGGGGTCCTAGAGGGTGATCATCTTGGTTCAGAGTATATTAAGTTCTGTATGCTAGAACATGCTCAGTGCCAAATTTACATAAACCAGAAATACTTGTAGAGGACCCAACCATTGACTACCAAAACATAAATGAGATAAAAGAGAGGGGCAGAATGGGAATGAGGAATCTCACAGAATGAACCAGCACGGTATACCACTTGGTTCTGTGTGCCTGCTGGTCATGTTTCAGAAGGTATTAACTTCTGCCATTGTAGAACAACACGAGGAAGAGAAAACAAAAAACACAAAACAAAAAAACTTTTCTTGTATTTCTCCCAAAATTAAGTTGAGTATGTTGAAGGGAAGTGGAAAATATATCTAGGACATGTAGTTTTAGAAATATGAAAGTCAAAAAGGAAGAAACTTAAAAATGAAGAGGTGGTAAAATATCGTAGTTAAGTTGGGAAAAGAGAAAAAAAAATGGACATTTACAGTCTTATACAAAAAAGAGTTGTACTGGAAAAAGGAAGAAAAAAAATAGAGGTGTACCCTCTGGTTCTATATCCTGTAAAGCCCTCGACTTCCCCTGGAGCTTTCCAGCGCTGCTTTGTCAAGAACTTGCTCTTCCCGCATCCTTCCAGCTGGTCTTCTGGGGGAGGGGCTTGCCGTGCTGATTCTCAGGTGTGTGCACCTGGTGGGGATGCCCTGCTTCCTGCCGGGTGCCGGGCTCAGTGGGACCTGTTTACCCTATGAGGCCTCTGTCCCCTGGCAGCCCTGCCTCTCCCAGGCACAGGGTGACACAAGGAGGAACAACACTGGCAGTGGCCAGCTCCCCAGCTCTGGAGTCAGCTGCTGCAGTAACTACCGCAGCTCCCAGTCCGCACTGGTCTAGGTGCTCCCAGGGAGCAGGGGCGCTGACCTGCACAGCTTGGGGGTGCCCCGCGGCAGGAGAGTCCTCACTGTCCTGTGCCCTCCCTGCCTCTGCCCATCCCGGGGGAATGCAGGATCCTGGGCCGTGTCTCCCAGTGCCCTGGGATCTGGGGCTTGTGCTGCTGGAGTCGCGCTCCCGGGGCCGTGGCTCCCGAAGGCAGCAGGCTGCAGCCCCTCCATCCGGAGCCCCCGCCTGACCGACTGGCTTTTCCCGGGGCCCGGCCGGGTGCGAGTTCCAGCCCTTTACCGAGATCGGCCTGTGGTTTGTGGTGCGCCCTCCCTCGGCCGCACTTCCCCTATTAGTGACTCCGGGAGCCTGGAGGCTCCACTGCCCCTCGATTCTGCTCGGTTTCCCTGCTCAGCGCCTTTCCCTCTGGGAAGAATCCAGTGCGGATTTTTTAAAGTTTCCACTCCTCTGGGGCTGGGCTTTCCAGTAGGGGAGGCTCTTGCTGCCCGGCTTTAGCCTAGCTCCTCGCGGGGCCCCTCCCAGCTTAATTCTTTTATATTTTATTTTTTTTCTGCCTTCCCACCTTGTTAGAAGTGAAAACCCTTGTCTCTGTAGCGTTCCAACTGTTCTCTCTTTAAATCTCAGGTCGACTTAGTTGGTGTTCAGGATGGTTTGAAAGTTATCTAGGTAGGTTGGTGGGGCCAGGTGGGTTGAGGGCCCAATTCCTCTGCCATCTTGCCCTGCCCTAGGTCTAAGGATTAGACTGTAGTAATGTATTAAGTTAATTTCCTGATTTCATGCTTGCATTGTGGTCATAGAGGAGAATGTCTTTGTAGAAATGGCATTCTAAGTTTTCAGAAAGATGATTCCAAATTTGTTGGCAACTTGCTTTCAATGGTTCAGGGGAAAAAGTGCTTTTTTATTGTTCTTGTCACTTTTCTGGTAAGTTTGAGATTGCTGCAAAGATATTTTTTCTTTTTCTTTCTTTTTTTTTTAAAACAATTTTATTTCTTCATTTGAGAGAGAGAGAAAGAGAGACAAGCAGGAGGAGGGGCAGAGGGACAGCACAGCGCCTGACGTGGGGCTCAATCCTAGGACCTTGAGATCATGACCTGAGCTGAAGTCAGACCTTAACCAACTGAGCCACACAGGTGCTTTCAATTATATTTTTTAAAAAGCCATTAAGTAGTTATGTTAAGAAAAGCAAAACAAGATTATGCTGAAGAGTGCCAAGGCAGGAGAGTAAGGAGACCATGGGATTTGCACTCTGTGGTTTGGATCTTGAAACCACTGCTTACTTGTATAAACTATTTAACCTCCTTGAGTCTCAGTTTCTTTTACTGGAAAATGGGGATAATTATTGCTATTTTACAAGGTTGTAGATAGTACAACAAGGATTCTAGCACGGAGTCTAGCAAATAATAGGCATCAAAGAAATTATAATTATTATTTATGCAACAAGTTGTAATGATATAGTTAACTACATATGCATAATTATTGTTGTTTGTTAACCAAGATGAGCAGACGTATTGCTTCTATTAGTCCATCCCTACCTGAGAACTAGCAGAAGGGTGATCTCACATGCAAGGGGATTTATCTAAATGAATTAGAATTAATTTTCCCAACCCCAAGCAAAATGGCCCAATGAGCCAATTAGTCTATTTATTTTCATTTCCACAAAAACAGACTGAAAAGTGGCTTATCTGACAATTAAGAAAAAGAAAGAAAAGGAAAAAAAGCACTGCCCCAACAACTTGTAAGCATCATTACTAGTTTCATGTGCCATATGCTATGATACATTCATTGGAGAGTTATAACCTGTGAATTCTTCCAAGAACTCTTCCACGAGTAAGCTCTGTGCTCTAAACTCAACTGGATGTCTTTATTTTCCTTAAGTGTTTCTGGATGCATATTGAATCTGGGTTGACATTCTCAGATATAAATGCATATTTAATCTCTTTATATCTCATCAGGTAGCATAGGCTTTTATATCACTGGGTTTTATCTGCAGGATTTGTGCTTTTATCTTAAAATATTGTCATTGTCTTGGATATAGATGATGCTAGTCCTGAATGTTCCATAACCCTTCTGGGTAGAAGACTAAAATGTGCAGGTGGCAAACAAGAAAATGTGGGTATCAGTGCAAATGGAAATTTCCCCTTCATATCCCGTTGAATTCTTCTTCTTCTTCTTTTTTTTTTTTTTTTGTTTATTTTTTGGTAAAGCAGCTGACAGGCTACCCAGAGGAAGTGTTATCAGAACTGTCTAGCTCCTCTGCTGGCCAGGTCTTGATTGTCCATATCAAGAGAGGCAAAGGTGAGCGGGACACGAAGACATGCTGCTTGAAGCCAAGGAAAGTGCCTGAGTCCTAGTGCAAATCTCCTGTCCTGCTAGGGTCTATGAGGGGCCTGGATTTTCCTGGGAGGCCTTGCTCAACCATTAAAGGTATACCTTGGTCTGAAAAACTGTTTATGAATAGCTTACAGTATCTACAAATATTCTGAGCTTTGGAAATTAATTTGGGTCCATGACAAGCCAGCGGGTAATGAATGAATCATAAAGGTTGCTGTTGAAATAGTCTGTTTACTTTATAAACAGCCGAAATCATTACATATACAGACAATTTATGTGCTCAGGTGGGAGAGACTTACGATCAGACTCCGTCAATAAAGACCAGGCATACTACACATGACAGACCAGATCCCACCCAATATGTATATCTTTTTTAAAAATTTAAATTCTACTAATTAACATATAGTGTATTATTAGTTTCAGAGGTCCTTATACATATATGTTGATAATGATATATTTTTTAAATGGCCCTTTCACCTTCTGCTGTGGCTGGCTCGCTCTTCCTGGAGCGCACAATGACAGAGGATGCTTGTGAAAGGTCAGTGCTGGTCCTCCAGACAGAGATCTCCACAGAGCCAGCACTTTCCTCGACATGATACTCAGCATCCCCAAAGTGCAGGATAGGCTCTAAGGAGGCATCAAAAGACAGACTAAGAATGCTTCAGCCCTCCAGGCCAATATTTCGTTGGCTTCTGTGACCCTGGGTATTTGTCACAATCATCAGACTTGACAGATCCCACAGGCTCAAGGAAGAACAGACACCCCACACCCCTGCCACACACACACACACACACACACACACACACACAAAACCATGTCAGAGTCACATGCCACAAACCTGAGGTGGTACAGTGAAATAAGATCTGTTAGAATTCTATTCATTTTTCTGTTTCAAAAGATTTCTGTCATATAAAGAAATTTCCCAATTGGGGAAAATTGGCCAACTAGCTGTGACTCAGGCAAGTCTGCTATTATTTGGGAAAAGATGGTGGGGGAATTTAGAAGGCTTTCTTCTCGGGAGAAATTGCTCTTTATGTTGAGGGATAGTCCAGCCAGGGTTCTGAATTCGGGGACTGCTGCTGATCCTTTTCTCATGTTATTTGTTGATTGCAGGGATAGACAGAAATCCTAGAGGAAGGCAGAGTTGCATCAGCTGGGATACCAGAAATGCTCTCCTGGAGGCAGAGAAGGGGTCCCTAGAAAGACAAGATCGAAGGAAACCAGAGTGGGCATCAGACTTTGGGGGGCAGGTGGCAGAGTAGTGTGCATTTCCTGAAGGGAGGAGAAGTTTGACAATGAGAAAGCTGGCATTTTTATGGGTATACCTGTTTGTATCTAGTTCTCTGTGTTTCAGAAAGTAGTCTATGAATTCAGCTATTTAAAGCTTACACAAGTTCTAGCTGCTATACCAGATACGTTGCTATGAAAAGGATTTGAAACAAATGTTTATTTTTTAAAAAATATTTTATTTATTTATTTTGGAGAAAGATAGAAAGTGAGCCAGAGGGGCACCTGGGTAGCTCAGTCTGTTAAGCATCTGCCTTTTGCTCAGGTTATGCTCCCAGGACCTGCACAAAACAGCTCACCATGTACCCAACACACCATGTGTTTACAGGCCTCTTTTGTTGCTGGTGATGTTCTCTGAGCTGGAACTCTCTTCCCAAACTGCCAGTTTCACACATTTCTGCTCATTCTTTAAGACTGTTGTTAAGAGTTACCCGCTTTGGGAAACTGTATAATAACTCCCTTAAGAAATTAAGCATTCTTTACCCATGGTTCCTAAGATTTTGAATAGCTCTATGCCTGCGATGATGGGCCACACTTGCTATTGGCTCACCTCAGTTGTACCACAGATGGGAGGCTTGCACTCAGAAGAGGAGGGGCCTCCTCTTTTTTATTCTTGCCTAGACCTTTCATGCCATCTCCCTATTGCTGAATGTTTCTTATAGTTCCAAATTTGGGGCAGGAAAGAGGGAGGAGAGGCAAGAGGAGAAGGGAAGCTTTTTCTTGGTATTATCATGGTGATCACACTCTCTGGTCTTAGATGATGGAAGAAAACTGATTCTGTTTCTCGTGGGCACTTTTGTGTGTTCTGTGGAGACCCCTCACTCCCATAGCTGGATATTTCTCTGCTCCCTTGAAGGGGATGATGCTTCTCTATTCTTACTGGTCACTCAATTCTTCAACCCATTAATGTTGGGAACACTTCTGCTGAGGATTGTTCACCCCTCTAGATGGCGCTTTTAGACAAGACCCACGACAAATTCATTTTTGTTCTCTCTTGCATGCAAGGCTCATGTTAGGTCCATTGCAAACCTCCTGCAACCGTTTCCTTGATAAACTCTAAGAATACTGCCTAATCCTGATGCAGCCCTTATTTTTTGCTCATCCATCAGAGTGGCCAACCAGCTTGTCTTCTACATTGTGATTTTCCAGGTAACGCTAGACTTCAATTCACTGCATCTTCCATATTGCACATGACACATATGACTTCCCAAATGGTCTCCTTAGAACTCCATCTCCTGATTTATGAATTATGTGAGAAGTTAAAATGTTAAAGCCAACAAGCTAACACATTGTTCTGTATTTTTATTGAACCATACAAACGTCTCAAGGTCAGTGACCATAGTCCAAATGTCTTTGTCCCCTTAGTGATACAGAGGCTGGTTTATAATAAGAATGCAAGAATTTGTCTAATGGATAATTTTAATTCACTTCTGAAGTATTTTGAACTTATTACAAAGCTTTTTAAAAAAAGTTGGGACAAAGTGATATATATATTTTTTAGCACAGAACTTATTCTGTAAAGTATTAGGGAAGGGCAAGAGGTAACAAAGAGAAAACATATTTGGGTCACTTATGCTGCTGTGCAGAGAAAAAATGTATCAAATATCTATGAAGATAGATACAAGATGCAAGAGGAGGATAACATCACTTAGAAGAAAAATCATGAACCTCTTCTGAGATGCTCTGTGTATTGAGCATCACGGGATTTGCTGAAATGGAGACAACTATGTGTTGCCCAGCAGCATCTCCTATTATCTTTGGCCCTGCTCTGTCTGAAGAACTGAGACAGTGGCAGTAATCCTTAAGGGTGGGGCCATTATGAGAGTATGATGTTTTAACCATATCATTCCTATATTAAATTGATTCCATAGCTATAGATGGTTTTTATCTTTCACAGAGAATGTTCTTTAAATGGAAATAGGAAAAGGGAATATGAAAAGTTGGAAAGTGAAGCTCTCAAAAGAGATCTGCCACTACTTAAAATTAATTCAATGTCCAGATTCAGAGAAATGGCATGACAAGATCCAAAAAGGACTTGCAGATGAAGTGACAGAAACAGTATTGGTAAACTTTGAGAAACCACTCAGAACAGGATAGGTGTCAAAAGTTGGAAGATAGGAAAATGTTTTTTTCTGTTGCCTCAGCAGAGAAAATAAAATCTAGAAGCAAACTGGTAAGCTTAATCTCTAGAAAAATTCTAGAATCGCTTATTTAAAATGATTTCTGAATTTTTCAGAAAGAAAGAGGTGATGCCTATGAGTCAGCATTAGTTCTTTAATGTAAGACTTCATGTCATCAGATTCAATTTTTTGTTGTTGTTCAGCTAAACATCTACTGAGCATCCTTTCTGTGCTCTAAGTACTGTGGTAGCTACTGGGGATGTAGAGGAATACTCATTCTTTGTCTTTGAGGTGTTTTTGGTATAAGAGGGCAGCCACACCAGTTTCAGTCAGCTAACCTCTGAGTGCTTTGACAAAAGAAGGAAGCAACCTAAAGGCTCAGAGGAGGAGGACTGGGAGGAAATAAAGCTGTGCTAGATCTCAAGGATGAATGAAAATGGGCCAATGGAAATGGTGGGAGGAATGTTGTTGTTGTTGTTTCTGTACATCTGTTAACTCCAGGTGAGCCACAGATTTAAGGAAGAGTTAAGGCTACCAATTAGGAAACTATTGCAATTATCCAGGTGAGACATGGCCATGGTTTGAACTATGCACTAGTATTAGGGTTGTAGTCGGAGATGAATGTGTTAAGTGCCCTGAGCAGCACCCAGTGGCTGGATATTGGGGGCTTCTAGAGAAAACTATGCATTGTCCAGCAGTATCTCCAGTTATCCTTGGCACCCAAGTTAAGAGTAAGGGCTGAAATAAACTTTTTCTACTTGTAAAGCCTACGGCAATTGTATTATAATATGAATAGCCCTATACAGCATAGTGATGCTCTTCTGAATGGTTTCCTGGTTTTACAGCACAGCAATGTCTTTCAAGTTTTAAAAACATTGATGTGTTGAAGTTTATCTTGGCCCATGCAACATTATTAACCACATTAAAAAAAAAAAACTGGATGTGCTGATCTCACCAAAATGACACGTTAAGTGCAGTTTTTCTTTACAATGTTTTCTTCAATCTATCATCATTCTGTTAGATACTCATTTAATGATAAAGATACTAATCTAGCTGGCAATCTTTATAGGCAAATTTTATGCATGTTATACAAATCTTATTGCCTCAGGGCAAAATTAACAGCCCTCTATGAAATTGGGCATCAATTCTTGTTTTGTAGCAGATTATAAGTTTTCAAAGCACATACTAAAAATGGAAAGAAACATTCTCACTAGAAAAGCAGAAACCTGTCATAAGTGTTTATATATAAAACAGACACAATTTGCTAATTAAGAAGTGTCTTCAGCTTCTTCTTGCCCTTGGTATAGAGCAAATGGAAGCTAGGGTCTGAAGCCTAGTGAAGCCTGCATTCATTCAGCTAACACTTATTGGCCATATTCTGTGTTATCTGCCCCCATATAGCTGATGTTTGGTAGAAGGGTTCTTGTGGTGGTGTAGGGCTGGGATCTTGGATGGTTAGGTTGTTTCTGCTTCTGTACAATTTCTTTTCTAATATTACTCCATGGTAGTCGCCTTTACAAAGATATTCTGTGGGTGACCCATTTGACAAGGGGATATTTGACCCCTGTTTAAGGAGGCAAAACGTTTCTCAGAATCTAGCTAAGTAGAATGAAAAAAACTTCATCCTTTTAAAGGTACAGCACAGGGAATATAGTTATTGGTATTATAATAGCATTGTATGGTGACAGATGGTAGCTACGCTTGTGATGAAATAATAAGACATAGACGGTCAAATCACTATGTTGTACACCTGAAACTAATGTAACATTGTGTGTAAATTATACTTCAATTAAAAAAATTATCTAAAAAACCCAAAACCAACTAAACATAAAACCCCATTTCATCCCAATTCTAACTAGAAAAAAAAAAGTTTTCCTTTAACTTACCTGGGTAAATCTTTAGATTGCTGGATACTGTGTCATTAGTTGGCCTAAATAAAAACATGCTTTTGCTATGAGATGATGGACTTGACATGTCTGAACAAAGAAAGCACTATTGGCACTTAACAAGTGTCAAATTACACTGTGGCAAATTACACACAAAACCATAACCCTGGAAAACGAATGTACACTTTCCTCAATATTTTCCCAAATCATCAATTTTGTATGACACTTGTTTTTATTCCTGACTGAAATGACAACTATATTATTACCTGAGATACACTACACATTAGGGTTTAATAAAAGCTTAATGCTTAAAAACTGAATTAGAGGAATTATCATTTCACATCAATATTTCAAAAGATTATAATCATGTGGTAGGTATGCTAATAATCACTGTAGATGTTTTCTCAAGAAGATAAAATGATAGCAGCATGAATGGCAAAATCTCTATCTTAAGTCTAGTGACTAAAGTGGAAGTAGTACCTATAGCAGTCATTCAAGAACAGCTGCTAAATGAGCACCTGCTCACTAGCTGAAAGGGGAGGAAGTCACACATTAGAATTTCACAGGATACCTTTTCTGAAATATCATTAATTCTGATCATGGAGATTGGGATGGATCAATGGATATCAATGGATATCATTAATTCGGATCATGGAGATTGGGCACTTAGTAGAACTACAGGGAATGTGACCATGCAATCTCAGGAGAGTGGGACTAGATTAGTTTGGTCACATCTGTAGCAAAATAGTTTTAGCTGAAGTTTACTCTGTGTGGAATCTAGAAAAGAGAAAGCAGCCAGAATAAGAAAGAATGGGCTGCCCATTTTCAGCCATGTTAAGAGGAAGAGTATTCTGACCTCGGATCTTGACAGTCCAGGACCTCTGGCAGTATTTACCCAGGGGTAGAGATGGCTTGTGGCTTGATGGTGTTGCTCAGATCCCAAGCTTATCAAGCAATTTCCTGCCTGTAAAGTCACTGCCCATATAGAGTCTCCTTTAAGAAGAGGATATGTTAGGGGGTCCTTGGGTGGCTCAGTGGTTGAGCAGCTGACTTTGGCTCAGGGTGTGATCCCGGAGTCCCGGGATTGAGTCCTGCATCTGGCTCCTCATGGGGAGCTTGCTTCTCCCTCTGCCTCTCTCTGTGTGTCTCTCATGAATAAATAAGCCCAATGTGGGACTCAATCCTGGGACCCTGGGATCACACCCTGAACCAAAGGCAGACACTCAACCAAGCCACCCAGGCATCCCAATAAATAAAATCTTAAAAAAAAAAAAAAAAAGAAGAGCATATGTTAACAAGTAACTGTTGGTTTGTTTTTGTTTTTGTTTTAAGCTTAGCAGTGTTCAATCTTCAATAAGTGTTACAGGATCTGAATGCAAGTTTCCTGAATTCAACAATTAACAGTGACTTGCTCAGAAAAATGTGTAGTGATAAAGATTGTTTATAATGAACTAAAAATCTTCCATCGTTATTTCTGCACATGCTTTTTTTCCCCCATTCAAAATCCTTCATGAGTTTGAGAATAGTTTAATTAGAGATCAAGTCAGATGTGATAGAAGGCAGAAGAAAGAGCTTGTTTGACTTTGTATTCTTATACTAAGTGCACAGTAGGCCACTATAAATATTTCTTGAATAAATTAATTACTTAAAAATCTACTAAAATCATTTCAAACAATACTACAAGTTAGCAAATGTATAATATACTGGATTTTGTGTTAATTTATGACCATCTCTGGTGTTTGTAGTGTTGAGAGACACTGGTTTTTTGATAAACTCTTAGAAAGTATTAGGTAAAGAGCTGCAGGAAACATACTTCTTATTGGGAAAAAAGAAAATTATTGACAGTCAGGCACTCTTATTCTTTACTTTTGCTTTAGTTTTCCAGGATGATTTTTTAAGATACACATCTTTCTAAATGTGTGGGTGAGATTGTAATGTACTTCCTTATCAAAGGTAAGTCATTATGTGCCTAGAAAGTATTAAAGCATGGAACACTATATTATATTTAAAATAGAGCTTAAAACTCTATGCTTTATTTTGAGGAGTCTCTTAGCACCCATGTGAGAAAGAACAGCCTGAGTTAAACAATAGGAATTTATTTATCTGGGGGAAGCCCTGGAGAAATAGAAGACAAAATGGACAGTCTTAAATTTTTTTTATTTTTATTTTTATTTATGATAGTTACACACAGAGAGAGAGAGAGAGAGGCAGAGACATAGGCAGAGGGAGAAGCAGGCTCCATGCACCGGGAGCCCGATGTGGGATTCGATCCTGGCTCTCCAGGATCGCGCCCTGGGCCAAAGGCAGGCGCCAAACTGCTGCGCCACCCAGGGATCCCCAAAATGGACAGTCTTAATCACAAGACCATTCAAGTACAGTGATTAGCTCTGTTCTTTATCTGACTTTTTTAGGAGTAAAATTTTATTACAAATTTTTAAGTTCATGGCACAATTTTATTAAAAAATACTCAAATATTCTGTAAGATACTTCATTTTATGGGTATGAGTAATAATTAACTGAAGTCTTCATCTTAAAATGACTTCAAGAACCATCAAATGCTAGAGTTTGCTAGAGTCCCTCCCCAGAGATCACCCACTTAAACTTCCTTATTTTACAAATTGGGAAACTGAGCCCCAGATACCTTGATCTTCCCAACGTCACCTGGAGCAGTAGTAGTGCCCAAACTCAGGATCCAAGTCTCCAGGCTCCCAGGGCAAGATTTTCTCATTCTGGCATTCCACTTCCTGATTTTCTTTTTCCTCCCACTTTTTTTTTTCTTGTGTACTTGGAGCAATAACTAGGTCTAGCAGAGAAAGAGAACTCAAACTGTACTGACATCACTCTTTCTGGCATAGGGAAAGGTATGATGAAGGTGAAAGGAATTTGAAGCTTTATGTTTATAGATTTCCACATTTTCATGTGAATTGCTCCTCATCAAACTGAAAATTAGTTATAAAAGGAAAGTTACCATGAAGAAAAGTATATAGAATGATCTGAGAAGTCCCTTCCTTTCTCTTCTTGTTTGGTGCTGAATTTCTCAGTCTCTGGAACTTAGTCCTGCAAACTTTCCTTACCTCACAGTAAGAGATAGGTGCTCTAGGGCAGCCTGGGTGGCTCAGCGGTTTAGCGCCGCCTTCAGCCTAGGGCCTGATCCTGGAGACTTGGGATGGAGTCCTATGTTAGGCTCCCTGTATGGAGTCTGTTTCTCCCTTGGCCTGTGTCTCTGCCTCTCTCTCTCTCTCTCTGTGTGTCTCTCATGAATAAATAAATAAATAAATCTTAAAAAAAAAAGAGAGAGATAGGTGCTCTAGCCATAATTCTAATTATAAGCCTGATACTAAAAAGAATCTTTCATTTGAACTTCAAAAACCATATAATATCATATTATCATTCTTTCCTTTCAGACTGTTCTTGCTCTTTTACCGACTCTTCATATTTTTCAAATATACTTGATTATTGGATTTTTCAGGAGTCTCAGTTAAAGTTACTCAGATTTTCCTTCTCTTCTGTTGGGAAACAACAGATAATTTATATATAAGACTATAAATAACATTTCTCTTTCCAGAAATATTGGATAATCAATACTAATATTCTTAGTAATCATTACCTAGTAACTCTTTGGTTTAGCAGAGAAGATTATATAAATTCTAAATTTCCATATAGTAAAAATTCATTCACATTTTTTAAGAAAAATATCATTCTCTTAATTCTAATAGGGAAATTTTTAAAAAAGATTTTATTTATTTATTCATGAGAGACACAGAGAGAGAGATAGGCTGAGACACAGGCGGAGGGACAAGCAGGCTCCATGCAGGGAGCCCAACGTGGGACTCAATTCCGGGTCTCTAGGATCATGCCCTGGGCTGAAGGTGGTGCTAAACCACTGGGCCACCGGGGCTGCTAATAGGGAAATATTTTAAAAGAAAAATACACAGTGAAGGAAGCCTAGACCTCAGGATCTATACTTATTCTTAGCTTGTGAAAATACGTTTTGGGATGGAACTTAGTCTTTGATGCTTTTTTTCTTTTTTTTTTTTTTTTTGATTTTTTTCTTTTTAATGGAGCAAAACTGGTTGACTGTCCAACTCTGAGATTTTGTCCATAGGGTGCAACATCAACAAATAAACCCACTTAGGAGACCAAGCAAACAAACAAAAAACAAATTACCTTTAATTACTTTTAATCTCACTCATATTTTCTTTTTCTCTATGGTTGCTATAAAAACATCATTTCACTGAAATAATGTAGTACATTTGCCATACCATCTAGAAACTGTATACACTCTTCACCCCCAATTCAATCTGTTTTTATCACTTGGCACAGCTCTCAGTTTCATGAAAGCTCTGTGCATATCCATAAAGCAGTCACACGAATTTTGGGTCTGTGGTAACAACCAGCCTTATCTTGCCTAGATTTGAACACACAACTCACAGATTCTCAAGTCCTAATGGAGGCACATTTGATAGATGAAGCAGGCTGAGACTAGTGATAAAATAGTCTGATCCTGCCCCTGGCTTTATCAACATTTTCTCTTGAAAGTGCCTCTTGTAGAAAGGGCGAGTGAGACCTAGGAAAATAATATTGGGTTTGATACTTCTTATCACATCTGGGCCAGGGAGTTGGTATTGAGAAGTGAGGACATCTCCCCCCCCCCCCCCCCGCCCCACTTCTCTGGCTGAATTTCAGCTGAGCTCCCCAGGAAGTGAGTGGAGCCAAATTTCCTGCCACACAGGGGTAGGAAAAAAAATCTGGATGCCTCCACGCTGGACCTCCAGGTACCCTTGTACCATCTGAAGACTCATGTACTTACTGTTGTGAGCAAGCCTCCTTTTGCTACTAAGATGAAGGTTTTTGTGGGCAGATCTGTTTGAGGAATGAGATACTTAACTTTGGTCCTTAGGTGACTTCTTTAGAATTTTTTTTAAAAAAGATTTTATTTATTTATTCATGAGAGACAGAGAGGCAGAGACATAGGCAGAGGGAGAAGAAGGCTCCCTGTAGGGAAGGAGCCTGATCCCAGGACCTCAGGATCACAACCGGAGCCAAAGGCAGATGCTCAACCACTGAGCCACGCAGGTATCCCTAGACTTTTTTTTTAAGTAGGGTCAGATACAAATATTTCATCTTCCTAAATTGCTTTTTTGTTTTTGGTGTTGGTGATATCTATGTGTTTGACAAGCTACTCACAGCCTTTGGAGAAGGAGGAACATCAAATATTCCTTTAATAGATAATTGAAGTAAATTTGTCTCTCAACTTTTGAAAGACAGTATACGAAGAAGGCAATTATTGCCAAGAATTGAAAGCAGGAAATGGACTTACCATCATCAGGATCAGCCAGGATAATCACCCTGGTGGTGGGGAACTGGGCTCCTAGTCGCCCTCCCACTGGCAGGCTCAGTGAAATGCTAAAGAATTCCTCCTCTTCATAGAGGGAGTCATTGATGATCAAGACCCCGCAGCTCTTCTCAACCTCATCCTTGTCAAAGCGGAGGATGCTGGTGTGGTCTTCTAGATGTGAGATGTAGTCAGTGAAATATAATGCTGTTGAAGGAATGGAGCCTGTGGCAGAACCTATAGAAATAGGAGATGGAACAGAGAAGGTGAGAAGAAGTGGAATTCTAAATAGGAAACCTGTTTTCCTCTGGTTCTTCAAACTGTTTGAGGTAATAGCATTGAGTACAATGATATATGAATTATAAATCACACTTTGCTCCGACAGTCACAGATGTTAATATTGCAATTAGAAGGTTTTCAGGACAGACGCTGGCATTTTGATATGATCCACAGTTAGTGGTCTCTAAACAGGGTACATATTGAATAAGGTCTGTTTGGATTAGGGGCTAAATAAACTGAAGGATCATAAGATAGTAGGCTTGGTTTAGCTTTATTTGTTCATATCACAGGTGGGAAAATTGAAGTGCAGATAAATTAGGACCAGAGAATCCATGGCATGGTAGTGGTGCAGATGTTTTCCTGCTCCTACCCTTCCCACAGTGGCAGAGCTGCAAGCAGCATCTATGTAATCTGACTTTCATGCCCTGACTAGAGTTCCTTGCATGGCATTGAAATGCAGCCACAAAATTACTTGTTATTTTACAAGAAGTATAGGATTGATGGGAAGATTTCAGTTTAGATGCAGTGTGTTTTAAATTTTATTGTAATGATTTACATACATTATCATTCACAAATTTAAACACACTATTTGATGAGTTTTGACAAATGTATATAGTTGTGTAACCATTACTATCAGCACAACAGAGAACATTTTTATCCACCCACAGAAGTTGACGTATACCCCTTGCAATCCCTCTCCTTCCCTGTCTCGCTGACCTGGAAACCATGAATCTGTCTTCCGGCACTACAGATTTATTTGTCTTTATGCGAATTTCATATAAATGAAATATACATTTCTTACTCTTTTTTTTAAATTTATTTATGATAGTCACAGAGAGAGAGAGAGAGAGGCAGAGGGAGAAGCAGGCTCCATGCACCGGGAGCCTGATGTGGGATTCGATCCCGGGTCTCCAGGATCGCGCCCTGGGCCAAAGGCAGGCGCCAAACCGCTGCGCCACCCAAGGATCCCCATTTCTTACTCTTCTGTCTCTGAGTTCTGTTACTTAGCACAATGCTTTTGAGAGTCAGCAGGTTTTTTTTTTTCACTTTGTGTTGCTGAATAGTATTCTTCATTTTATGGTTATACCACAATTTGTTTTCCCATTTACCAGTTGATAATGTGGGTTGTTTCTGGTTTTTAGCTATTCTGAATAATGCTGCTATGAATATTCTAGTACAGGTCTTTGGATACATAATTTTATTTCTCTTGAGTTAATACTTAGGAGTAAAATTCCTGGAAATTAGTATAGTGTTATTATTATGGTAAAATACACATAACCTAAAATTAGTCATCTTAACCATTTAAGGGTACGTATCAGTAGTGTGGTCTATTCATATTATTGTGAAATAAATATCCAGAACTTTTTTCATCTTGCAAAATGGAAACTCTCTACCCATTAAATAACAACTCTCCATTTCCTTCCCCTGCCCCACTAGTCTCTGGCAACCACCATGAATTCATCAACTCTAGGCATTTCATGTAAGTGGAATTATACAGTATTTGTCTTTTTTGTGACTGCTTTGTTTCAGTTGGCACAATGTCCTCAAACTTCATCCATGTTGTAGCATGTGATATGATTTTCTTCTTTTTTAAGGCTGAATAATATTCCATTGTATGCATAAACCACATTTTGTTTATCCATTCATTTGTCCATGGATACTTGGGTTGCTTCACCTAGGCTATTGTGAATAATGTTGCTATGAATAAGGATGTGCAAATATCTCCTCAACTTTGCCTTTAACTTCTTTGAAATGGGATTGCTGGACCATAGAGGAGTTCTACTTTTAATTTTTTGAAGAATCTCTATCCTGCCTTCCATATCAGTTGTACCATTTTATAATCCCCACCAACGGTTCATCAGTGCATTTTTTGCAGTATTAAAAAAAAACAGCAACACACAGATTTAGAGCTAAAAGAGTAAAAAGTAGTCACAGTAATTTAAATGATTTAGGCAGATCAGATTTGGGTCGAACAAAAACTGTGTAGAATAACTCAATATGTTAAATAAGCAATTTTTGAAAAGCCTAAATATTTCCCACCACACTTCTTAATAGGAAGTGGCGGGGATATGACAGTGAGCTTCTGAACTGACATTCTAGTCTTGCAAGTGTCTCTCTTACTTGTAGCTCTGGTATATGCATAGCACCAATGTCCACTGTCTTTTGGATAATGTGAAAGAATCAATATAAATACAAGTTGATATCTATGAGTGTGTGTTGCATGTATACATATAGCTTGTTCAAAAACGAAAATGCTTTCCAAATTGGCTTCATAGGTTTTGCTTAGAGGGGCACTAATTCACAAAATATTTTGGAATGATTTTTCAACAGAACAGATTCTTTTTTTTTATAAATAAATTTATTTTTTATTGGTGTTCAATTTGCCAACATACAGAATAACACCCAGTGCTCATCCCGTCAAGCGTCCCCCTCCGTGCCCGTCACCCACTCACCCCCACCCCCCGCCCTCCTCCCCCTCCACCACCCCTAGTTCATTTCCCAGAGTTAGAAGTCTTTATGTTCAACAGAACAGATTCTAATTGAGAATGATGAGGTATAGCAAATGGACTGTTCTGTTCTTCTGGGAACCTAAAAAAAGTTTCAGGTTGGAGGGACTGATGAGAATAAACATGTTTACAAAGGCAGAGGGCAGAGACTGCTAGACATGGACAGCTACAGGGGGATGGCCATTTGCAGGGGAAGCTAGCCAAGTTCTAGTGCCAGCTTGTGCTTTGAAACTTATTCCTTTATGACGTTCCTTCCTGTTTCAATCCTGTGAAATCTGCACATTGAAAATCCAAGTCAGGAAGAAGAGTCTAGTCCTTGGGATTTCAGAGACAGAGCTCTTAACAAGTGCTAGAGAGGGCTACTCCCCAGCTAGACAGAGAGGTAAGGGCTACAGTACTGAAAGCTCACAGGACATGATGAGATACTCTATTGGGAAGATTTTTATGCTTCAGGATATACACAAAAAATGGGGAAAAGGTCATAAAATTTTACAATAATCTGATTAGATAACAAACAACCTTTGGGATTTTTTTTTTTTAAGAGCTCAAAGTTTAAAAGGGATTATACATGAGAATACACTCTTTTCTTCCCCCTAGTCATCTGGTATGCAGAATATTGATATGACAGCCAATGTGAGAAAACAACCTGATCAGAAACTGCACATTTAACTCCTCAGAATAACTACCAAAAGCAGATACACACTGGACTTGCATAGTAAGTATCCAATGCTATGTTTGTTGAATAGCATATTCAACACTATCTTTATTAAATCTCTTTCTCAATATATTTCATCTTGTGAATGGTCAAATAATGATTTATCATAGTTCATAAAATAAGAGTAATTGGGGTTTTCCCCTTTTCTGTTCAATTTTTTTCAGCTGACTGATCCACTTGGTGAAATAGACATTTATTTAATTAGCTTTCTGGGTTCAATGATAGAGTGAAATATAATTCTTATTGAAAATCATTTGGCTGTGAAATGTGGAATTCTACTAAAACAAAAAGTAAAACAATACATTTTAGCAATTTTTAAGCAAGTCTTTAAAAAAAAGATTTAGTTATTTATTCTTGGGTGGGGAGAATAGGGGTGGGGGAGGGGCAGAGAAGAGGGAGAGAAAATCTCAAGCAGACTCCCAGCTGAGTGGAAGCCCACCCTGGGCCTCCATTCTCAGGATCCTGAGGTCATGACCTGAGCCAAAATCAAGAGTTTGCTGCTAAACTGACTGAGCCACCCAGATGCCCCTGGCAAAACTTTTTAAAACACCTAGTGTTGATAGAAAAAAAGTCTAATTTACATCTTATTTAATAAAAAAAAATTCAGTTTATCTAAATGGCCAATTCTTCCTAGGATTCTGGAACTTTTACTTTGGAAAACCAATGATCCAAATATGTAATAGTCAAGAACAGAAAATACTGGTATTTATTTTAGTTAAAAAAAAAAACCCACTATTTTATTGGTAGCAAGTGAACAATTCCCAGGAATTAAGAGAGAAAATTCTGTTCTGAAAACATTAGATGTAACCTGAATCTAAGAACAGGTCCTTGGCAATGTCTATACATATCTCTTATTTAATAGTGAAGCATGTTCCAGAAGTATTGAATGTTGTTCCAGGTGGTTTTCAAAAAGATGATTTAGCAACTGGGCCTCAAGTCTTACTAGGGCCACTAGACCATGGTTGTGCTATAGCATTTTTGCAAGGAACATTAGGGAAGGCTCTCATATAATACATTGTTGTTTGCAGAGGTAGATTATGAGGCAGGTTGGACTGCCTTACGGAGTATCATTTAATTCTTCAAAATTAAGATTAGACCAAAGGATTCATTTCATACTAACTCTCCCCTGTGCCCTCTGGCATGAAGTTTTGCTGGCAAAGTCTAACAACTGGGTCTCTAACTATGCAAAACACACGAAAGCCCTGATCTATAGTCCTTGCTCATTTTTGTCATGTCATTCCCACTAGCTAGTTTCACTATCAATGTGAAGTCAGAATCCAGGTTTGGGATGACATTGTACACAATGGACTCTTACCAGCAGATTCTGGCTGGATCCAGCATGCCACTGTATCCATAATGATGATGGTATACGTTTTCCCTGGCCCAAGCCCATCTCAGACATCATGGGAGTCTGAGAGTCTATGAAGTTATTTTAAAAAAATAATTGTTTCTTTACAGAGAGTATATATAGCTCAGTTTCTGTGGCTACATAGTACATTTGCTTTATAAAAATCATAGATCATACTTAAAGTCAGAGAAAGCCCTATCTAGAAACTATACTAAAGGGCTATTGGATCACTATATTATGGTATTTGATAACTTTATAAGGTGGCTAGGGCATTTTAGCAATGATAAAATTGAGGCAGAGAATGCCCCAGTGACTTGTCCATGAATCAAAGACCCATCTCCTGATGGGGCATAGTTTACTTCCCGCCATTATCTTTAGTTATTGCATTACTTAATTATAAATTCTTTTAAACATACAAATTTCCTTTAGTATAGATTTTTAACAGGGCAGCAAGACAGGAAGTCACCTCTCTTTAAAAGCATAGCATTTAACTTCTGGTTGGAGCAGGTCATTGTTAGAAGCCCCAGGCACAGTTCATGTAATGCCCAGGAGGGTCTGTGACTGGGACAGATAGGGGAGCAAGTGAAGAGAAATGAAGGGTGGGCAAGGCTGGACTGGTGCGGCACCAGAGCGCTGTCTAGAAGAGTCTTTAGGAAAGTTGTTCCCAATAGACTGGCCGATTAGGTACACTGTGGTGCTCTCCCACTACAAAATATGTAGAAGAAATGTTATTCTGGCTTTTCTGTGTCATCGGAATAAGGAAAATAATCAAGGGCCAGAATAAAATAGCAATAATATCCTAAAATCCCAAGTGTCATAAAGCTAGAGAAGGGAATTTGTCTTAGAAGCAGGGTCATCCTGAGAACAAGTACAGTATCAGCACTGCCAGGGACACAGTGTTTTGGGCCTGAGGCTCCATCAGGGAGCAGAATCTGAAATTCTACAATTAAGCCTGGGGATCCTGGGGAGCAGGGGTGTCTCTGGGTCAGCACTGCTCTTAAATCCTGGAAAAAGCAACACAAATCCTTCTTGGGGGAAAGCATCCTCAAGTAAAGCCCTCAGATCTTTCACAGATTCAGTCAAACAATTGTGAGAAGATTTTGAATGCATAGAAAAGACCAATCACCACAAAGATGACCTTAGACCATGTGCAGGCTTTTTAACAGCAACCGTGTAGGCTGGAAGATGCTGGACCTTCAAAATGCTAGGAGTAAATCACTGTCTACCTAGAATTTCAAGACTGAGGTTGAAATGAAAACATATTCCGATAAACAAAAAATTGAAGTTTACCCCCAAAGCCTATACAGTCAAGGGACTTCTAAATGATCCAAAGGGCCTCTCTGAGATGCAAGGTGTAACTTCTACAACCTATAAACACACTTGTAATCAAATAAACAGACACAGAGTTTTTTTTAAAGAAAAAAAAAGGAAAAAGTCTTTTGTTTGGATGTGCTTGGAACCTGTTCAGAATAATCTGTTAGAATTCTATCTCCTTAACATGACCCAGAGAAATAGTCCAATCAGAGAAGTGGGACTGGGCCACAGCTTGTGGTTCACCACACAGCCCTTTACAGCTGCATAAAGTCGATCATTTCAAAACCTCAACATATTTGACTTGGGGCTGACCAAAACCACGGGATAATTCAGTACCACTCCTGGACTGTTGGTTTTAGGTTCTGTGGTTTGCTCTTCATTGGCTGTCTTTTCCCAATAAGAGCAGTTTCCTAACAAGGAAGTGACTAATGAGAAGAAAAAGATGAACATCTGTCTGAGAATAAAACAAGGCCAAGAACTAATTTGTACAACTCTGTTCCCAAGGTATCCTTGAGCTTGAAACATTTCACTAGAGAGTAATTGTTCACAGTCATCAAGGGGTTTATTTCTCCAGCTCTGCTTCTTCCAAAAATTTTTTTAAAAAATGCAATGCCCCATGTCACTGTCTGAGAATACTGAGGATGGATGGGCATTTTAGGTAGGTAGCAAGGCAGGACACTTCAGGCAGGTGATGCCACAGCCAACTAAAACCTTAGTGGTGGGCCCTTGGCATCCCCATCAAAGCACAGCATAAGACTAGTCATTCCTTTCATCCACCTGTGACTGTGATATGCACTTAGTGTTTGTGAATTAGTGCCACTGTACAAAGCACGAGTTTGCTTTCCATACAACCATTTATACAACTCATGCTTCTTTTATCCATGAAAATAAGAATTGGTAAAGATTTATTTTAATAAGACTTCCATAAAGGTTTAAATAACCAAATTAAGGGGTGCCTGGGTGGCACAGTTGGTTAAGCATCCAACTCTTGGTTTCAGCACAGATCATAATCTTGGGGTCATGAGATGGAGCCCCACATGGGTCTCTGCTCAGCGTGGAGTCTGCTTAAGATTCTCTCTCCCTCTGCCCCTCCCTCCCCTTCCATAAATAAATAAATAAATAAATAAATAAATAAATCTTTAAATAATCTTTCAACCTCTGAGATTTTTAAGTGGTGAGGATAAATACAATCCTACTCAAATGCGCACACAAAATTTACAAGTTCTTGCTCTCTTTTAATTCCACAGTGGTGTGCGAAAATCAGAGTGTGACCATGAACTCCATGACTTTGTGTTCTGGGGAAGGACCCTGGCCCTGTTATACTTTTAAAATTTTTTGTTTGTTTTTTACTGAAAGCCTGAGAACTGTGTTTTGGGTGGGTCAAGGCTCAGGTGCTGAGCCATCTGAGTAGGTATGGAGTTTTCTGGGAATAACAGTCTTGAATCTGGAGACCTTATTCGAAGTTGGGTCCCGTTGAAGAGTTCTGTGGGAAGCTAGATCTGTGTAGCTTCTCTCACGTGGCGAGGAGGCATCCCCTTATTCTAGCTGGCTCACTGCTAAAGCTTATGGACTTCCTAGTTTGTTCTGCTTATCTTTCTACAATGTAGCTCTTTCCAGAAACAAAGGGATGGTCAGACCTTGGTGATCCTATCCAGTTTAGCAATTGCAACTGATTTTCCAAGTTTGGCTATTTACCACTTCATTTCTCCCATTCACATCTGGAATCTCTAGAATCATTGTCTTCTCGACTGTATGCATGTGGACAGAGAATATACCAGAAGCAGCCCAGCTGGAAGCCTAGGGCAGAAAAGGAGTGCACTTTCCCCATTAGCCTCTCTGCCCAGCTGCAGCCCCTCCCCCGCATGCCTAGGTCCTCATTCATTCTAGGAATGGAACCAGAGCCCAGCATGGACTTGGAAGAGAGAGCGAAGCACATCCTCCCAGGGATCACCTGGCAAAGAAGACCTCAAGGACTGCCTCATCTCATTATTTCTTGTCTTTGCTTTTCACTTCCCGCACAGGGTAACAACAGGTTAAAACTTAAGAGGTACGGAAGTTACATGTAGCCAGCAGTGTCTGATGTCTTCAAGAGAGGAGTCTTGGTTAAGGACTGCCTATAGTGCCGTTAATCTCTGGATTTAAGCCAAGCACAAACATGAAGATCTTGAAGATGTACCACAGGGGCTTGTCCTTGTATATAAACTATTTTCACATAAAATATCTCATTTCACTCTCAGAAAACTTTATTAGGTGGTTATAACATATGTTTTCATCCCAGTTTCCAGTAAAATTTTATCCTTGGTTGAAGAGACAAGCTCCAGAAGAGTTGAGGCACCTGCACATGGTTGCAAGGTAGTTAAGCAGCAGGGCATAGACCAGGGTGTGGTCTGGACTTCAGTCTTCTGTAAGCAGTTGGCCCACTACCTAGCCACTCCTTCAGCCCCACAGCCCTGACTAAGAATCATTCCTGTCAGTACCCCCATAAAGCCTCATACCTTCATGTGTAGAGCAAATGACCATCAGTTCTTGGCTAACATCTCCAGGCCATCTTAGTGGAATCAAAAGCTCTCCAACATGCTCCTCTATTTTGTATTCTGCCTCTGGAATATAAACTGTTGATTCTAGAAAAGATGGTAGAAGACACTTCAGCAAGACTTCAATTGTATTGGTGATAGTGGTGACATTTAAATCTGAGTAGAAATGTAGAAACTCTCTGACACCTATATTTAACATGATTAACTGTATGAAATATAGTGGGAATAGGAAATGTTTCTTATTAAGTGGAGCTAGAGAGGCAGTGGAATTGGGTTTAGGAGGCTTCTGAAAGGTAAAAAGGAAAGCTAGCACTAAATTGGAAAAGAAAATCTTGCAGCAATTGTGTCTTTTTTTCCTTTTGAGGTCAAATTTTAGGTGTTCTAGAGATCACACATTTCTACTCTTGCTTTAGTTTTACTGCTTTTTTTTTTTAAGAAAAATGTTTTTAATGGTCAGGTAATCTCATTCATTAATGCAGAAATTTTTTTCCTGTTTTGTTCAACAAACATTTTATTCAACACTTATTGTGCAGATATTGGTGGAAGACACCGACCAATTATATTTTGAGAAAGGTAAGTTACTGGTTCTCCCTTAATCTTTTTATTAAGCTTTTTATTTTAATTATGGTATAGTTAACATACTCCTACCCTCAATTTTTAAAATAATATTCCCATTGAAATTTACTGAGCTGTGTGTGTGAACCTGTAAGCATTCACATGTGTGTATATTTGTGCATGTACACACATCATCAGAACCTTCACTGGAATACAGATATGAATATTGGTCATCGCCTGTTGATGGAATTATGTGTACTATTTTTCTTTGGGCATTTCAGTGTTTTCCAAAAGGCTTTTCATTAAGCATGCATTGTGCAATTAAATATATGTGTTTGTTTAAAAAAATCAGAAATGTAAAATAGGTTGTTACTACTATTCACAGAGTCAAGTGGACAACTGATCAAACCACATTTAATTGCTTTAGTTCTTTCCTTCATGGAAAAGGAAGCAAGAAGGAAAAATATTGTAGTAGACCATCATTTCTTCTTTTGGAACTGTTACTAAGTGATAACCCAGAATTCAATGTTGAACTAATTGTTGTGGGTTAGTTTTTTCTTCTGCCTTTAAAGAAATACTGGTCCTGATTTACAGAGGGAAAAGACCAGTGAAAATTTTCTTTCTGCCATTTTACTTTCCTATGGTCGTATACTGTCTTGACATCTCTTGATTCAAAATGCTGGCATCATGGAAGAAGCTAAAAGTAAGTTAAGTTATTAATATCATGTGGAAAAAACTGGATAAATCTTTAATATTGAGTTACTCAGACATGTTCTCTATTGTTCCATTTTGAAAAGCCTACTCCCTTCCATCTATGAATCCAAATCCCATTTATTCTTCAAGTCTCAGCTCAAACCCTCCCTCCTGTAGGAGGCTTAATTGCTTAGGATTATGGTGATCTCTTCACTTTCTTGCCTCAGAACTCTTAACTGCTTTAGGCATGTATCCTAACTTTGGGCTTTCTTAATCGATTCATGTGTCTAAGTGTTGTTATCAACAAAACTGATAAGATATCTTGTTCACTGGGTAATGGGGCAATGTTTTCTACTTTTGTCTGCCAAAACCCAAAGTGTATAGAACAGTATTTCCAGGTTGCATTCAGAGAAAACTGTAACTAAAACTGTAATTGTATAGAATATTCTTTGGGGACAATAAATTTTAGAAAGCTTAAGGTCTAGTTAAAACTGGTTAAACAAAGTTAAACAGGTTTCTTTATAGGAGAGTTCCTTAGAAAGTTTACTATGCCAGCATGAATTATGATGCTTCAAAGGAAAGAAGATATTTGAAACAGTTTCTAGATTTATTTGGTCCATGAAAAGCTTTCTGATCCTGTTGTAGAAATTCTATTATACTACTGTTTTCTGTTATGCAGTTTGGGACATAATAATACAGAGGACTCTCCATGCATTCCTGTGAATTACAAGACTTATGCCCTGGTAGTAAGTCATGCAATTCTAGAGATGCTTAAATTCTTTCAGTTATTGTGAAAATCAGTGTGTCTAATTAAAATTCAAAGATGAATACTAAAACATTCCTTAAGGGAGTATTATTCTCCTTTCACAAAAAGGGGCAGTAAATCGCACAATTATTAGTTAAAACTTCTTTTTTCCCTTTTTAACTTATCTTGGGAGATATTTGCAGTACGAATGAACAAATAAATGAATAAGATGAACCTGTGAATTCAGGAATATGATGCACAACTATAACAGAACTTTGTGGAACACATGCTAAAAGTTGTTTGGTTCCCAGCAGCCACATCTAGGACAAGGGTTATCTAAAGTCCCCCCACCGATGTGGTGGGATGCTCCCAGAAAATGGTGAGAAGATCATTGGCCTGGAATGAGCCTGAGGATCAGCCACCTGTGGGCAAAGCTGCAACATGTATGGAGAGCTAACTATGAGTCTGTAGAGAGCTAAATATGAGGGCTTGTGCATATTTTGGAGGAATGCTGGTTAAGTCATGTCTGTTTCAATCTCTTATATTCCTTTTCAAAAATCCTAAGAGCAAAGGAAAAAATACTGCCTTAAAGTGATTACTTCACTTTAAATCCTAGACGGTATGAACATGTTTGGTGGCTTATGGAGCCTGAGGAGGTATGAATGCTGGAAATGGAGCCAGGAACATGTACTGGTTAATAAGCCATACCAACAGAAACCACATACCATCACCAGGGTCTATAATTTCAACTGTTGCCATTTCTGGAAATTCCAGTGCAGCCATGACAGGGTTCAGCAGAATGATCTGGAAGGTCTCTGAAGCCTCATATTTATTGTCATATAAAGGCCTAATGAAGCAAGAGTACCTATACTTAATCTCTTTGGGTCCCATCATAAGGTGAAGACTCTGCAGTCTTCACACATCGGAATGTGTGAAGTCAAATATCATGACCTGATACCAGCTATTATGACAAACTTTACATAAAATGAAACGAATAGTTCCTTTTGCTCTTCCCTCTGTCTCATTCTCAGAGAATCTGATATTTTGTTAAAGACACCCAAACCTGTAAAGTGTGAAAATAATTTCCAAGATAAGAGAGCTCATGTTGACTTTTCAAAACTGCTGAAGAAAGCTTCCATCGATCCTACTGAGAATGAATGTCCAATATCTAGGAAGAGCCTTGTCTGGCCATATGTTGGAATTAGAGAAGATAAGGAAGAGGGAGTGGTGTTCTACCGAGTTTGGGTAGATGGCACTGCTATATAAATTGAGTAGACACCTGACTATATAATATTTGGAGAGCATTAGCTCTGTGTGAAGTGCTAAGGAAGCAGTGCTGAATTAGGTACAACCACTACTATCCTTGAGAGATTTACAAGGGGAAATAAAAGATTTCAATTCTGTCTGGTGAAAGATAGTTAACATTTACTATGTATTTAATGTGTGCCAGAGACTATGCTAGATTGATTCACGCTCATCTTATTTAAATCCACAAACAAATCTTGAAATGGATATTTTACAGATAAAGAAATTAAAGGTCACGAGAGCATCACAAAAGGGAATATGTATCAGAGCAGAAATTCAAACCCTACAGTTGTTTTGCTTTGTCTTGTTTTCTTCTAGCTCCTGCCTTTTGACTGCTAGCCCCAGCATAGGGTGGGGGTGAGGGGATTAGGAGGGCTTCTGGGAGCACTGAGGAAGGTTCTCTACTGTGGTGTTGATGTGGTTTTAAGTAGTTTTTTTGTAGGACAGATGAGTTGATTATATGTAGCTCACTTAACAACATATATCAGGTGATTGCCACATGCCTCATGCTGTTTTCAGAATTGGGCATAACCCAAGTTGTGATGCCTGCCCTAATGGGACTAGAAATCTACTGGGAAAGACAGACAATGGACAGATGGGCATATGATGCAAGCTTGGGAGGGTCAGTGCTATGAAGAATAATGCAAAGCACATGGATAGCACTGGTGGAGGGACTGGTTCAGATAGAGGCTGGGGACATCTCTCTGGGGAGTTTACAACCATCCATGTGGTTCTGGGCAGTTAAATGAGTTTATTTCTTGAATAGGATATGAAAATACTTTCTGACATAATAACCCAAATCTTGTGCCCATGAGAAATCCCCGAGGTAAAGAATTATAATGACAGAACCCTACAAGAGAAAAGGAGTATATTTCAGCTAAAGTTCCTACAGCAAGTTCTGCTGTGTGTTGACCAAGTAACCTGCAGTGTAAACTGAGGCTAAGGGCCACCCAGAAATAAGAGTGCTCTTTTGCTGACCTTTTCCCCTAGGGGAGCAGTCCTATCCCAGAGCCTCATGCCTAGAGAAAAGACTGGGGAAAGCTTGCCTTTTCTTAATTGCATATCCTCAGCCATAACCTTCTTGGCTTCTATCCAATAGTTTTGATATGTTGGCAGGCCTCTGATTGGGTGCCAAATGTCTGCAAAACTCAGAATGCTCATTTGTAAAATGAAAATAACACACTCCTATCTGTCTTCCCAATAGGTTATGAAAATAAAGGCAAAATGGTCTCTGAAAATTTTGGCAGTTAAAGATGTCATAAAAATCTAATGCATTATTAGAATATTGTTAAATATTAATGATGATAATGACATGTATTATGTGAGTTTTATACATCTGTTTACCCCAAGGAGGCATAGGTCTTTGTAGAACACAGAAAAATTTGATGCTGTACATGTTTTGGAAGAATTTAGAACCTAGTAGCAGGGTGAAAACAATTATGTATAATCAAAAGAAATAGCTACAACAAAACATAATAATATATCATGTACTTACAAATAATTTTTCAAAAGAAATAGAACTAAGGATAATCATGTATCATATGCTTAAAAGCAATTTTAAAAGAAACTGAGTGACTTGGGGATTGTGGTATATGGCTATGAAATGTTTTATTTTTCCTGGCATCTTTTGGGTTGAAAAAGAGAGAAAGACTGTAACCTTCCAGAAGGGTGCAATTAGGAGGAGGAAGATGAAAAGCTGGTGTGTATATTTAAGCCTGTAACTTGTGTGGAGTAAAAACTATGGCACGATTTCACACATTTTTTAGAGGTTCCCCCAAGCGATGTTGTCGATTCTTCTCCAATCTATTCTCTCATAATTATTTTTAAGCCTAATTTTCACATTTCCATTTCCCATTGCCAACAAGCAGTCTAAATTTACTTACTGATAAAGGATGTTTCTTTAAGATACCCTCTGTGTGTGAGGGTTACCTCTAAGAATGTGGAGTCTTTATCTACAATGTAGTACTCTTTCTCCAAAGAAATCCAAGCCCAGTTTAGATGGTAATGTTGGTGTGTTAGCTTATTTCCTTCTGCAATTGATAAGGGTAAAGAAGTTGGATGAAAGTTGCAGAATTAAATGGAAAAATCATCTAATGGTTTGCATTTTGCTTCTAAAGCCAAGGATTTCAAAATATATGCCCCTTTCTTTTATATAGAGAGAAGTGCTTTGCTTTTCTAGAGTGTCATGAGCACTATCTATAAGGCCTGTTCCCCCTGCTTAATGCAGGATTATTCGCCTGGGTCTATTCTTAAAAGGCTTTATACACTAGATTCCGAAGAGCCAAAGGTTGGTAGTCTTAAATTCCACTTATATACAACACTTTCATCCTTTGCTCATTGCTTCCTTTGTTTGCTTCCTCTCACCCCACCTCCTCTCATTTTCTTCCTCTGCCCTCTGTTTATGCCTTTGTATTGTTCATGTATCTGTTTGCCCTCACAACAGGCTGGAGGTTTTCTTTTCTTTTTTTTCTAAGATTTTTATTTATTTATTCATGAGAGACACGTGGAAAGCGGCGGAGACATAGGCAGAGGGAGAAGCAGCCTCCCTACGGGGAGCTGGATGTGGGACTCGATCCCAGGACTCCAGGATCAGGCCCTAAGCCAAAGGCAGACACTCAACCACTGAGCCACCCAGGCGTCCCAGGCTGGAAGTTTCTTAAAGACAGGGCAGAGCCCACATTATATTTCCTTATTTTATCACTGTGAGGCTCTGGTATGGTGTCTTGAACTTAGAATCTTAGTGTTTAAAACTGTCCAAGTGGAGTTCAAGAGACAGTGATATAAGGCTCTATCTGATTTGCTCTTGTCCACACTAGGTCATAGGCTTCTTTGATAATGGCAGCCTAGCCCCATATTGGCACTGTGCAATGTGTGTGGATTGGAAGAAAAAACAGGTCTGCCTCAACTGGGGAGCAGCTGTTACAAATAACCACTAGTAAAAGGATGTTGAAATAGGGCTCTCTGAGTTGCAGCTGATGCACCAGTGTAACAAAGTGAATGTGGGCAGGCTACCATATGCAAAGTTTACAACAGAGAGCTTTACTAGTCAGTTCCACAACTACTAAACCCCTAAATAAGATCAAGCACAGCAAAAAAAAAAAAAGGCAGCATATAGATAAGAAAGGAGGATTTATGAAGAGCACTTTAGAAAAAACTGGTGGGAATCTCTACCAGCACCCAAGATGGGTGTGGCATGGAGTAGGGCTACAGTCTCCCCTCCAGCCTAGAGGGTATGGGCTTCACAAACCTCTTGGAGGGTTGACATGTCCTTCTGTAATTGTAGGTCCATGTGACTAATGCATTCTCCAAAAAGCTTATGTAGCCTTGGCAGGGAAGGGAGAGTAGAGGGGCCAGCATCTGGGACATAATTAGGTATCTACGAAGAGTAGGACAAAGGAAGCATGCATGTGGGCCAGAGGTGGGTCATCTGTCCAACAGAACCTGTTGAGGAGGCAGTGGGATCTCAGCGGAAGGAAGCTAGAAGCTGACAACCAGATTTACTGCAGAAACAGTAAAAGACAAGGAGGTACAGATTCCAGAGTCAGGAATCTTTAAGGAACTCATGAAAACATCAACTAAAGAAAGAGTCACTGTTAAATAGTTGCCATCCAGGGGCCCCAACATCAGATGACAATACTTCCCTTACCAGACTGTGCTCTGCCCCCCATCTCTTCTCTCTCTCTCTCTCTCTGGGGCTAACCCAAGGATCGAAACCTTGTGAGGGAGCGAGGAGAACCATGAGCATGGAAAGGGCAGAAGCTGGCCTCTGCTGTCCTCCATTGTCACAGGTTCTGGCTAATAGCTGCACAAAAGGCTTAACATAGAAGTTCTGAGATTTAGTTACTGCTTGAGGCTGTGAATTCTAATGACCAGATTAACACAGTTTTTGATTTAATATGACTGTTAAGATGTTATTATCTGAGAGTGATTTGAAAAGCTGTGTGACCTGCCCATCCATTGTAGGATGAGGGGAAGAATTCCCTTCTTCCCCAAACCATCACTGGATGGTAAAAGGACATACAGCTAAAATTATAATTTGATTATATAACAAATCGTGCTCAGTTTGGCATCCCAGGAACTCACTGAGGTATAACTGCAGGGTAAATGCTCCTGATGGATTTCACATGTTTATTCTCCATCTATCTTTTCTCTCTTTAGAGATAACATTATTAATATTATTGTGGATATTCTAATAAATGCAAGAAAACATAAGACAAATATACCAGAAATCCTTTCATGTTATTAAAAAGTAAGATATTGGTCTTGTTTCTAGTTTGAAACCACTTTAATTATTCAAGTATATAGTTTTTTGGATTTTGAAATTATGAGTCAAAATAACAGTCTATGTTTACTTATTCTTTTTCAAAGTTCTTTCATTTAATCTTCATTTTATTCTGACTACCACACTACAGAGTAGGACAAATATGAGTCTCCTTGTAAATCTAGGCAAACAGTTTCAGAACAATGAAGTGACTTGACCAGGTTTATGCAGGGTAGTGGCAAGGTCTGGGTCTTGTGTGGACTGTAAGTCTCTAATCCAGTGCTCTGTTTTTGACTGACCTGCTGCTCCTATGATCAATGCTCCTGGATCAGTGCAACTCAAATACTGCAAAAGGGAACTGGGCAAAATCTATTCCAAACAAGACCATTTGGATCAAGACATGTATGATAAAAAAGAATCAGGAATTAGAGGCAAAAACATTTTCACATCCCATATGTACATAGTATGAATTTCTCAAAAAAAAAAAGTGGGCCTAAGTACACACGGCTGTGGCCTTGCTGGAATGTGAGGTTGAGGAGGAAGGCAGTTCTCAGAGAAGAGGGCTCAGAGATCTAGAGATATCTAAACGGTATTTAACTTTAATATTAGGATGCAAAAACTAGGTGAAAATAGAGAGGGCCCCTTTTATATTCTTGTCTCCAGTAATTCTTCTGTACTTGGATTCCTAAAATAAAATGCGTAGATAATACAAAGAAGCAGCTAGGTGGCATAGAAATAGCAGGGACTTTGAATATAGTATCTGCTACTAATTAGCTATATGAACTCGGAAAAAGTTACCAAACACCTTTGAATTTTAGATTCCTTGACTGTTAAATGAGCATGATAACAATAACAATGACATGAATAATATCATTCTCGCAGAGTTGTAAGGATTACCCTGGATAGAGAAGGTGGAAATGAGTTGCACGATGCCTGCCACTCAGGAAACGGGTCACATTAAGGTTGTATTATCATCGATGCACACATTTTAATGGAGAGACAGGAGAAAATAAATACAAATCAGTATTTTTAATGCATAATGCATAAATCAATTAGGTACAGAGGACCATTTACTAGCTCATTTACACATCCCATAAATAATTAAATTCTGGCCAATCAGCAGATACAGTGCTAAGCACTGTGATAGGTGTTGTGGATCAAAAACATGCAAGTGATAAAGTTTATTTGTACACCAGGACCCACAAAATGGAGGCCCCCCAGTGGCCCAGTCCACGTCACAAGTCAAAACCAAGGTTGGCCTGTGTTTACCTGAAACACCTGTCAAGGAAACCCAACATACACCAATCATAAGCCTTCAGCTCAACTATAGCTAATTTACTTTACTCTAGAAAATAGAACCTACCAGCCTTATAAGGAAATCTCCAACCTCCTAGCCAATCATACTCTGTTTCTGAGTTGCCTCTTCTAAAAGCTCTGTGAGACTTGCTCTTGTCCCACATCCCTTGGGAACGGTGCTCCACTGCTTTCAAGGCAGTTTCACCCAGTCCATGAATTGCTTTCCCTTGAATAAACTATATCAAACTGGTTGCTCAGTTGTATTATTTTTGTTATTTGACACAAGGTATAATTTCTTCAAAGAGGATGTGGACAGATTTGATGTGTCAAATCAAACAGAGGTAGAAAGGGCTTAAGCACCTGGGCAGTGATAGTGGAAATGAAAGAATAGTTTAGAGAGAAATAAAGGAGCATCGACAGGTTTGGGGGATGAGAAGCCAGCACGCTGGAGGAGAGCCATTAGAGATGACTCAGAGCTCAAGTCAGGCAGCTGGAGGAATTGTCCAGTATGAGCAGATACAGAGAAGTCAGGAGGGAAGACAGCTTGTGAGTTTTAATTTCAGATTTGGCTTTGAAAGTTTGGTAAGAAGTCCAAGTTCATCAGCTATTTGGATATGTCGATGTATGGGAAAAAGTTTTTGGGGAGTTACAAAGGTGAGAAATGTATATTTGGGTGTTTCTGAAAGGGAGTTTTAAAGCCTAGGCTTTTCTTTTTAAAGATTTTATTTATTTATTCATGAGAGACACAGAGAGAGGCAAAGACTATAGGGAGCCTGATGTAGGACTTGATCCCAGGTCCCCGGGTTCATGGCCTGAGCCGAATGCAGATGCTCAACCACTGAGCCACCCAGGTGCCCTAAAGCTCAATTTTTAAAATTGTAACAATAGAGAGCTAAATAGATATTATATAATCTCTGTATTTTGTCAGGCACTGCCTCTCAAAGGACCTATGCACTTGTGGAAGTGGACAAAACCAGAACATTAGGCATTTACATTTTCACGATCATTTCTCTTGGGTTAAGGAAAAAAAAAAAGGAAATATACACTGAGTGTTTTACTATATTCAGGAAGATTTAATTTTGATGTAACTTATTTACCATTCTAGTTTCTGATATAATTTCTTCTTTTAAAAACAATAATTAAAAAAAATAAAAACAATAATTTAAAAATAAAGAAACCCTTAAAATAAAAAAGATTATATTGCTAAAGACAATTTTGAAAATACACCTAATGGGGACACCTGGGTGGCTCAGCAGTTGAGCATCTGCCTTCCACTCAGGGCGTGATCCTGGTCCGGGGATTGAGACCCACAGTGGGATCCCAGCGAGGAGCCTGCTTCTCCCTCTGTCTGTGTCTCTGCCTCTCTCTCTCTCTGTGTCTGTCATGAATAAATAAATAATTTTTTTTTAAAGCTGACTCTTGTGCTCACTTCAGAAACACATATACTAAAATTGGAAAGATACAGAGAAGATTGGCATGGCCCCTGTGCCAGGATGGTACATAAATTCATGAAGTGTTCCATAGTACAATAAATAAATAAATAATAAATGCTGACTCTCAAATGAGTAAAATACAGTACTGAATGATAAGGTAGCCACTATTGTCAAATGGTAATGGCTTATGGCCTTGAACTTCAAAAAAAGATTTAATTGACTAGGATATCTGATCTTAAATATTTAATAATTACTCAATGAAAATCTAGTACTCTTCTTATGTTTTTTATTACTCCGTGACATTTGCAAATAGCTTCATCATCATAAGCATTTAGCTTCTACAGCTACCAGCTTTAAAATGTATCTGAATTTCTTATGCACCGCATCATAATACCTCTATCGTCACATAGTGTTCGTTAATATCATTTGTCTGTGGAAGACACTTCACAGTGCCCCATTATGATGGAATGGGTACCCTGAATTGAGGCATGCCGTGTACAACTAAGCTGCATGTCCAGGATATAAATATAATAAATACAATGTATTCTCCCATTTAGAGTTATAATTTCAGGGAAAAGAAAGTAACTTCAGATAGAAGAATTAGCAAAATTAGATAAGGCAAAAGTGCAACTGAATGTCAGACAGATTTCCATTTTCTTCCCCTAGCTCTCTTTAGTGTCCCTGGGGCTGTGGGTAGTCATTTGAAAAATGTGTTTTGTCGGGTGAGATGCACCACATCCCCTGCTTACAACAGGAAATTATTCCACCTCCATTTCTTTTGCATAATTCACTTTTATTCAATAATTCTATGGGCCTGACTGATTCTGATTCTTCCTTCAATGCTTCAGGGTGCAACCACCCACAAGCCAAAGCTGGGAAGGAGAGATGGAGTCTCCAACACATAGGTGCATATCCATTCTCTTCTTGAGGCACAACAGGTAGTTTGGTGAACCACACAGCAGGTTTTTCATAAAAGTAGGGGGAGTAGAGAAGAGCAAACAGATGAGATAGTGGCAGTCATTTATCTTCTTGAATTCTTTTTTTTTCTTCCTTGATTTGAGAGAGAGAGAGAAAGAGAGAGGGACAGAGGAAGAGAATGTGAGGTGGGCAGGGGCAGAAGGAGAAGGAGAGAAACAGACTCTTGCTGAGCAGGGGGCCCGATGCAGGGCTGGATCCCAGGACCCTGAGATCATGACCTGAGCCAAAGGCAAACACTTAACCAACTGGAGCCACTCAGGGGCCCCTCCTTGTGTTCTTCTAAGCTACGGTAATGTCACCTCCTGGACTGTGTTTCCTGTCCATTTCTGTAATCTTTGGAAATGTTGGGAGAGGTGGGCAGGAAAGGCAGCAGGGGTTGGCAGGTGCAATGCAGTTTGAAAGTAGTGTTTGGTGTATTCTTTTTGGAGATGTCTCCAGACTGTCTTGATGATATATTTGGCTCTCCATTTTGAAGGATAAAAACCCAATATGTTACTGCTTTGAATAACAATACAGGTTTTCTGTGCCCTTTCTTGCCTTCCTAAAATAGAGTTCTTCAATATTAGCACAGTGGAGGGAGTGAGAAAAAATAAAGACCAGAAGCTTTTTAAAGATTCTTTTGCATGCCTCAATAGGGGCACCACATCCTGCTCTTGACACAAAACAAAACTACCCAAAATATTCTCAAAGCAAGATTTTAGAGAATTAAAAAAGGGGGGGATAAGACTGCATTTGCAGAGGTTTCCAACTACTAGGAAAGTAAAAGTATACTGATTGTATGATCACATGCAATGGCCATTTCTCTTTGGGATTTGGAGATCCACATGGCTTAACTGGAAGGGAGAAAACATGGTGCCTTCTTCTTTTTCAAGACTGTATAGGATTCAAGGAAGATGTTGAAGCAAACTCTTCCTCCCAGAGAATGGAATGGAATGGAACGGAACAGAATGGAATGGAATGGAATGGAAATAGAATGCAATGCACTATATAGGGCAAATTCCTCTTTGGAGATCAGAATAATCATTCTCAATTTTGGATATGATCTAGGTAGAGCCAAAGAAAACAACTGGGTCCTTGTCAGAACCTTATTATTCTTCTCTCCCATGAGGGGTGGAATTAGAAGTTTTCTGAGTTCCTTCCAGGTTTAACATTCCATAATGCTTTCTGCCCCCCTTGGCAGGTGGCACTGTCACAGCAACAAAGAAAACATATAAATTTATTATGCCCCAGTTTGGAAAAATAATGTTACTCAGCGTATGTTGGTATATAAACTTGATAAATGAAGTATGAACTTTAAGCTTTCAAGAGGCATATGTGAGGAGGATAAGTTCTTGGGAAGGCACACAAACTGGGTACAGCACTTCCCAAGGTGTGATTGTAGCCCCATCTGCATATTATAATCAAATCTTTTTCCATACTTGTGATGTCATGTGAAATTCCAATGCTTACCACCACCTTGAAGAGTGGAAGTGGGCATACTTGACATTCGACAAGTAGAGTCCCTGAGGGTCAGTAGCTGTGCCTCACTCAAGGTCACAGAGCTAGTCAATACATTGAAAAATGTGCAAAGCCCTCCATGATCTGGATCCTTTCTACCTCCTCATCAGCTCCTACCTCTCTTGCTGTCTTTGGAGTCTATGAGAGATTGTTCTAAGTTATATGCAGGTTGTGAAGCTAACAGTGTGGCTTCCCAGCTCTGAAAACACGCATTCCTCAAAGCTCAGTTGAAACTTTGCTACTTGGAACAACTTCCCTGAGTGATGGCTCATCTCTGCCACTCATGCACATAACTTCTTGCTAGTGGCACTCACAGTTCTGCAGTGAATTGTCTCTATGTCTGGTTCTCTTCCCTTATCGGTAGCTGCTTTTCACCGTGGAGTCCCTAACACTTGGCACAGAGTCTAGAAATTACAGAGGCTTGATAAATACCTGTTGAATGACTGAATGTCTCCTGGAGAAAAGCTGACCTAAATAGAGATTTAAAGACTAGAAGGAGCACTGCTAATAATTTAGCCTATGTACAATCTGTAAATAATATATTACCTTGCTTAATAAGAATGTAGATAATGGTTTTTAAAAATCTAGTGATAGGGATCCCCGGGTGGCGCAGCAGTTTGGTGCCTGCCTTTGGCCCAGGGCGCGATCCTGGAGACCCAGGATCGAATCCCACGTCGGGCTCCCGGTGCATGGAGCCTGCTTCTCCCTCTGCCTGTGTCTCTGCTTCTCTCTCTCTCTCTCTCTCTCTCTGTGACTATCATAAATAAATAAAAACTAAAAAAAATTAAAAAAAAATCTAGTGATAACATAGTATATATATATGTAGTTTTATTCTAGTTAGAAAGGGAGCCAGAACCTGCACTCTAGGTTCTTATACTCTTAGCTAGAGTCTCTTCTACAAAATACCGTGTGTACAGGTGGTGAACTGATCTTTAAGTTTGAGGGTCTAGCTCTAGAGAAACCTTTATAAAATAATAAAAGTATTATTTTACATTTCCATAGTACAGATTATTTAACTTTCCCCCCACAGTTCAGTGTCCTGCTCATGTTCTAGAAACTGACATAACACTAGGCATATAAGTTTGTACTTGATTAGCATTAGAAGTGAGATAGTATAATAAAAATTATACATGTATATACAATGAAAAGGAATATTTCCTGAAAAACCATAGTGCACTCTATACCTTAGGGGGACATGATCATAGCCGGGGCAAGGCCCTACAGTTTCTTACACATATCTTACAGAACACATCTTCCAGGGGGTCTACTCTAATGTTGGTGACTAGCACCTCTGAAATAATGGGTGTGAGAGCTCAAATCACTCATTCTCCTACAAAGAAAGAGATAAATGTCACATCCCCATCCTGGCTTATGTCCACAGTTATCTCAAAGGAGGTGTAAGACTGTTCCAAAAGCAATTTGGTCCGTAAGAGTTGGGAAGGAAGCAGCCACATGAAAAAAGTGTCAAAAGGAAGCTTTGTGACGGCATAAAAATAAAGTTGTACTTGTCACAGCCCAGATTATAGGGCCAAGTGTATTCATTCACTCTTGTAAGTGGGTTTGGCGAAACCCTGGAACCATCTAAGCTCTAAATAAATGGGGAATGACCTCTCATAGAGTTCTTCTTGAAGTCTGACAAGACAATAATTAGAGAGGAAAGTTTGGAAGTTAAGGTAAACCACAGCCTGTCTCTGTGTCATCTGCATCATTAGTCCAGGCATTATAAAAATGGGCAAGCCAGGGAGCCAACAGATGTCATTAGCCCAGTTCTTGGCAAGCACTTATCAGGCAAAGAATAGATGCTGAGTTTTTCCCTGGGGAGGATTTCATTTGTCAGCAATTCCTTTCTGCCAGACCGCAAATCAACAATTGCTAGATAAATGAAATGCTTCCACTCAATTTACAAACTCCTGGGTAAAGTATTTATTTTCTAGAAATAAAAATGCCTTTTTTATAGCACAAGCTATAAGCACTTCCAGTGGGTACCACTGAAGCAACAAATGCCAGATCCGTAAGTCTTATAGACCCTTATGGAAACTGGAAGTGGCTCTGTTAGGCATCATGTTCAATGATGCTATAGATTCACAGGATAAAAAATGGCAGAATAGACAGACCCAACCCACTGCTGTAGTAATGGTGAGGGAAATTCAGTGTAACAATCGCTTAAGATATATTTTACAAAAACAAAATTTGTTTTGAAGACTTTGGATTACATATTTTTTTTGAATTATGCTGCTGTATAATTTGACATTGAATACAATTATATATAATCATCAGAAGGCATTCAAAAGCGGAAAGAAATGTGACTAGGGCCTAACACAGAATTGTCTAGGCTTTCCGTTTCTCTGAGTCTCCTTCACATTTGTTCCTCCCCACTGTGTGCATGTGCTTGTTTGGTCAAAGACCCTCCTTGCTTCTTTCATCTTGGTCTTCCCACATATCTGCCTCTCCTGTATTTCTATTTTGTCTTTGTGTTTGCATGAGCTCTTTCCAGCTCCTGGAAGACGAGTTAGTATTTGTATACACTATATCGAAAAAATTTAAAACATAAGGAATGAGGATTGCATAAGCAGCATCTACCAAGCAGTTTCTCAATTTATTCTTTGCCTATTCCATACCA